ACTGAACAAAACAAATAACTTCTAAAGCTTTGGAAACAACACTTTATTATTTTATCTAAGTATACAGGAAAAATGGCGCAATACTTGGAGCAATGTCTGCTCTAAATTGTGCATTTATGTTTCCTTAAAAAGGCCGATCTGATGTGGATAAATATATTTTTTTCTTACAAAACACAAACACTGAATTTAATATTTTATTTCAATAATTTGCAGTTTATTTACTTTGAATTTATTTAAATTTAGAGAATTCATTTATGTAAATAAATGTCACTCTTGTGACTTTGTTTGGACTTATTAAAAGTCATAATAAGAACAGTAACAGAGCAGATTGATTTCCGAATAAGATTCAATTTTATTTAGTTGTTGTGTGTTTAATGTTTAATTTAAATGTGTCTTGATTTTAATATTAAGGTTCTTTTACCGTTTAGGTCGTTGGATTTCAACTCGAGGCCTTCTCCTCTCTCTTCGCCTCCACCAGGATTTGTTTGGCCACAATCAAATTAATTAGACCCTAATTAAGTCAGATTACCACCTATTAATGTGAGCCTTTAGCACCGACATTTCTTTAGAACAAAATCATGAATGTTATGTCACCAGATGAGAGGTGTATCTGTGTTTCATTCCCAACAAATAAAAGTACATTTGTGCGTAAATCTTTCTGTGCGTAAAGACAGGACACGGGGATCGTGCGTATTTGTAGCAGCACATTTTAAAAGAATCGAATAATTTAATTAAATAGAATCAGATTCTGGAGCTTAAATAATGAGGATGAGGAGGAAAAGAGGAGATGCCTTACCGACACACTCGTTGGCTTCCCGGGCCGTGGCGCGCTGCCATGGTCGGTCATAGTGGAAAGGTTTGCACCTGTCGCACTCCGGTCCCGCCGTGTTGTGTTTGCACTCACAGACCAGATTCCCCTCTCTGTCCTTGACGCATTTCGAAGCGTGCCCGTTGCACTTGCACCGTCCTCCGACCTGCAGGTCCGACACCGCGTAAAAGTAGGAGTCTCGGGCCAGCTCCGAGTCGTCCTCGTTCTCGTCTCCGAAAGTGTGAAGCCGGCTGAAGATCACCTTGATGTCGGTGGCCGTCACCCAGTCCTGCAGCACCGGGGAGTTGTCGAAGTCGTGCGCTGAGGGTCTCCCGTCCAGGGTGCTGAAGGCGATGAGTCCACCTGTCAGAGGGTGCATGTCCGTGTGGGAGTCCGTGCAGATGGCCTCCTGCTCGTTCTGCTTGGTGATCGCTGCCTTATTCTGCCTGTTGTACATTTTCTTACACTGAGTGGAGTAATACTGGAACGGCACCCAAGACTTGCCGTAGTCCATGGACTTGTAGATGGCCATGGACTCGGGTCTGGGTGAGCAGAACTGCAGGCTCACATAGGTGACCTCAAACTTTTTACCGAGCGACAAGGTGAGTGTGACGTTCTGCGGGTACTGCACGTAGTTTTCAGACTGCCAGCAGGTGAGGTTGTGCGGGTTGTTGAGGTCTGTTAAATACGCAGGTGGATGGGACTTCTTGGGATCCCCGGCGTCGCACGTGTGACAGTCCCGCGTCCTCTCCTCGCCCTTCTCGGTCACCACGCAGTACCTGGCGGCGGGGTTGCCGCAGGTGCTGGATACGCGCACGTCCTTACCGAAAGCGGAGTTGACGAAGTCGGGGATGCACCTCCGAGGGTTCCCGTTCTCATCATAGCACGGGTCCGGGGGGGACGACTGTGCAGCGAACATGCTGAGCCCGTATCCTCCAAAGACCCCCTCGGTCAGCGCAGACACTGTCACCAAGGTGACCCAAACCTCCAAAATCCTTTGCATTGTAATCCGCGCACCGCAGGGACTCTGGCGCTGAAATGTAACGAGATAAAACAACCAAGATTAATAATTAATTCAGATAAAGGCAAAACAATCACAATAAATGATGCTCTGATGTGGAAAAACTTGGACGCACAAGCGAAATAAAATATTCTTACGAGGCAAAGAAACCCAGGACTCTACCTCCAAATAAACTGCTCAGTCTGAAAGTGAAGCTCAACTCCTTCTAACAATTTGGAGAACAACCTATCCCGTTTACGCACGAACAACTACTGCTCCACTTTCCCCCCTCTGTGAAATTCCTAAATAAAAATAAGAGATGGCAAAAGCCCAGCTGGCTGTGAGTGTCCCTCTGCCTCTGCCTGTCCTCTCAGTCACACCTCTGCCCACCTCTATCTCTTTCTGTCCCATTCCCTCTCTGTTATAATGGGAGAAAGGGGGTCCACTCATTCACAGGAGAGGAGCCTTTGGAGTGGCTCTGCGGAGGGAGAGGGAGCAGCGACATCTTCCGGCAGATCATCGGTACTACATGTTGAACTAGAGCACACACTTCTTTTGTCCCAATAAGGAGAAATATGATGCAGTGAAATCTTGTGATTTGAAGATATAGAAAACAAACTGACATGTTTATTTATAGCGTAAGAAAATGGCTTTAAGACAATACATCTGCCTCACAAGATTATTTTATCTTGCAGCAAATAATACATGTTTGCTTAATTTGCAAGTGGGAGTAGATTTGTTGTACAAACACCCATTTTCTTAATAAAGAGGCAAACTCCAGCTAAAATATCTAATTTAATTTAATTTAGAAAACCTTCATGAGGAACCTGTTTGTTGTTGTTTGCATGTGGGAAATATAAGTGTGTGACACATCAAATGATAACACACATTATAGAAGCTTTTGTGCACAGACATAAATACACGTGTGCCTTGAGATTTTGGCTTGCCCTTTGGTGTACCTTGGGCACAACTAATAAATTATAAGTTCCTCAACATATTAGTCCAGGGATGACTGTGGCAGGTGTCCCAGTTAAATCTTTTTAGTGAGTCTCCGATCGGGAATCTTCACAGCTCTATTCCAGAGCCGAAGCATTTGACATTTATATCTGATGTTTAGAGGTTCTCATCCTATGTCTCCACTATCGGCCAAAACTGAGGTACATTTTAGGACTCTCAGAGAGGATTGAATCGCTCTATGATACACTGTGTTACAACTTGTGTGTTCAGGGAAACCCCAAACACCAGAAGCTCAGTCAGACTCAGGACACACACACACACACATGAATTATAGAGTTATGTTTAAGTTTAGAATCCCAGATTACCGCATTGTCTAAATTTGGTCAGTACACATCCCAGCGCTCTGCTGCTGACTGAGCTACAACACTGACAGCTTCTTTAAATGTCATGTGCTCATCCAGCGTCAAGCCAAGATGTTCATGCTGGTCAGTGTGTGACAGCACTGTTGGACCACAGTTAGAAACAACTGAAGTTCTCTCCAATGACAATAAGACTGAAAGTAATGAAACAGAGACAATGTTTGACAGTGACTGTACTGACCACAGTTGCGCAGCTGCTTCTGCTGTGGGCACAGTGACAGTTTGCAAAACCACACGCAGAGCTGCAGTACAACGTTATATTAGAGTATATTGATCTTCTGAGCACATTATTGGGTGGAATGTGTCTCCCCAATATACACTCACTGGCTTCTTTATTAGGTACACCTGTTCAACTGCTCGCTAACACAAATAGTTAATCAGCCAATCACGTGGCAGCAACTCAACACATTTAGTCATGTAGACATGGTGAAGACGACCATCTCTAGGGTTTACATAGGATGGTCTCAAAAAGAGAAAATATCCAGTGAGCCAAAATGCCTTGTTGATGCCAGAGGTCAGAGGAGAATGGCCAGACTGGTTCAAGATGATAGAAAGGCAACAGGAAGTCAAATAAGCACTGGTTCCAACCAAGGTGTGCATAAGAGCATCTCTGAAGCAACAACACCTTGTCCAACCTTGAAGCAGATGGGCTACAGCAGCAGAAGACCACACCAGGTGCCACTCCTGTCAGCTAACAACAGGAAACTGAGGCTACAATTCACCAAAACTGGACAATAGAAGATTGGAAAAACCACATTCAGATGGAAGCATGGATCCATCCTGCCTTGTATCAACGCTTCAGGCTGCTGCTGGTGGTGTAATGGTGTGGGGGAGATTTTCTTAGTACCAACTGAGCATGGTTTAAACACCACAGCCTACCTGAGTATTGTTGCTGAGCGTGTCCATCCCTTTATGACCACAGTGTACCCATCTTCTGATGGCTACTTCCAGCAGGATAACGCACCATGTCACAAAGCTCACATCATCTCAAACATGACAATGAGTTCACTGTACTCCAATGGCCTCCACAGTCACTAGATCTCAGTCCAATAGAGCACCTTTGGGATGTGCTGGAACGGGAGATTCTCATCATGGATGTGCAGCCGACAAATCTGCAGCAACTGTGTGATGTCATCATGTCAATATGGACCAAAATCTCTGAGGAATGTTTCCAGCACCTTGTTGAATCTGTGACACCAAGAATTAAAAGGGGTCCAACCTGGTACTAGCAAGGTGTACCTAATATAGTGACCTGTAAATATTATAACTACTGCCTAGTATCAAATCATTTGGGCTAAAAATAACAAAAAATAAACTGTAATTTTTAATTTTACACTACGTGTCTCCCAGGGTAAGTAGCCCATTAGCCATTTTTGAAACATAAAACTGGTTTTAAATCTTTATGTTAACCTACATTAAAAAGGTACTGTAGAACAGCTACAAACTATTTTAATTAAAATTGCTGTGCAGAACAAGAAGTAGAAAAGCTACAAGCCACTGAAAGCTGTCAACACTTTGCAGTTACAGACTTAGCCTACTGATTTGCCACTTGTTGCTCTCAGTGGTTATTAAGGGTGGAAACCTTTAAACGTAAGACATAAACATGACATTTAAAGACCTTTAACTAGGACGTTGTGCATGAATAAACCTAGATTACTGAGGTGAAATATTTATTTTGTATGATTAATTTGTCAGTAATGAGGTCTATCATGTAAAGACTCCTCCTACAACATTAGTATATCGTCTTATGTAAACCACCTCAGCCTAAAGACTCATTCAGTTCCTGTTTTGCAGCACACGCTCTCTGACTCTGCAGTCAGAGGGTCTATTTTTGAAAAGCACCAACACAGGAGGATGTGGTCTCGGTATTGTTTCCCTCCGCTGCTCAGCTGTGGTTGATCTGGGATGATCGAGGACACTGATACCAGCAGTCGATGGGTGAGACGCATGTCTGTCTCTTTTCATTTCTAACTTCTTTTTATGCTTTAACATGTTTACAGTAAGTTACATGTATGTGTCCCGTGCCTTTCTCAGGTTGGCAAGTGGAGCCATTTAATATGTGTTCACCATTTCCATATACTGCCTCTCTAATAGGAACAAACTTCTGTTACATAACTTCCATCAGATCTAACTGCAAAGTGTTGTTCAAGTTCTGCATGTTTCCTGTTCCCCTTCTTTTAAAAGCTACCGCAGGCCTTTATCAGTACACTCAGAATTAGGCAATATAAAGTTTGCTTTGCAAAGCATTTCATAGGTTATTGAGTCTCAATAGTGTGTGTTTCTTTTCTTTATTGAAAGATAACCTGATAAGTATAATGAAGCACTTTGTGCAGTTAAAGCAATAAAAAATCTTAATGTTTAAAGCAGCAGCAGCAGAGAGCAGTGTTTTTGCATTGTAGCAGTAACAGTCAGGTTTGCATGGAAGTGCTGGACAATATATCCTCACACATACAATGGACTAACACCTGCTTCCTCAGTAGACAAATGATTGAACAGGCTTGTTTGCAGAAGCTGGATATGCAGGTACCTCAGAGCCCAAAGCTGCTGCACTTATATGCAGTTCAGAGTTTAAACTGGTTTTACTGTTAGATTGATACAACAATCTTGCTGAGAAAATCATCATCACTTATAACCTGTCATCAGATGATCCCTCCTACTTTAGCTCCTACTTTAAATTCAAGAAATCTCAAGAGAAATAATAAATTGAACTGCGATTGGAGTAAAGAAAATATATCCACATATTGAATCAGCTGGAACTGCTGAGCACTGTTGCAACTGAGAGTGCATGAAAACTATTAAGTTAGCAAACAAATAGCTAAAAGTTACGGATAACATATTGAAATAGCTCAAAGTAAACAGATGAAATAGTTGAATAAATGTTTGGAATTATACAATTTCAACTGTTAGCAAAAAGTAATAAATACAGACTAGTGAAAAGTAACGGATAAACAGTTTAAAACAGTAAGCTAATGGAGAAAATAGTTGAAATATTTAACTAAAAATAATTTATAAATGGCTAAAATGGTCAATAGTAATGAGTGATTGGTTAAAATAGCTAAAAGTTATGAATCAGTTACAATAGCTATAAATAATGGATAGATGCTAAATTAGTTAGCTAAAAGTAACGGAATGCTAAAATAGCTAGCTAAAAGCAATGATAAATTGTGCAAGTAGTTAGCTAAAAGTAATGGATATGGCTAAAATAGTTAGCTAGAAGTAATAGATAAATCGCTAAAATAGCTAAAAATAATGGATAAATGGCTAAAATAGCTAGCTAGAAGTAATGGATAAATGGCTAAAATAGCTAAAAGTAATGGATAAATGGCTAAAATAGCTTAAAGGAATGGATAAATGGCTAAAGTAGCTAGCTAGAAATAATGGATAAATGGCTAAAATAGCTAAAAGTAATGGATAAACGGCTAAAATAGCTTAAAGGAATGGATAAATGGCTAAAGTAGCTAGCTAGAAGTAATGAATAAGTAGTTAAATAGTTAGCTAAAAGAAATGGATAAGTAGTTAAATAGCTAAAAGTAATGGATAAATGGCTAAAATAGCTAGGTAGAAGTAATGGATAAATGGCTAAAATAGTTAGCTAAAAGTAATGGATAAATGGCTAAAATAGCTAGCTAAAAGTAATGGATAAATGGCTAAAATAGTTAGCTAAAAGTAATGGGAACTGCCCATTGGTTCGACACCCCATTGTTCCGACCATATTAAACTCATTGTTCCGAAGTCCGTTCCAAAATCATCATGATGCCCTGTGGTTAAGGTCTGGTTAGGTTTAGGCACAAAAACCACTTGGTTAAGGTCAGGAAAAGATCATGGTGTGGGTTAAAATGAAAAAGAAAGTGACAAACACATAAGCCGTGAGCCTGCTCCGCCTCAAGCAGGTCGCGGCATGCCATACGCCCGCCGCGAGCCGTTCAGCACCGCGGACAGTCCGACTAATGGGATGTCGAACCAATGACATGGACCCAAAAGTAATGGATCAGTAGTTAAATAGTTAGCTAAAAGTAATGGATAAATGGCTAAAATAGCTAAAAGTAATGTTTAAGTAGTTAAATAGTAAGCTAAAAGTAATAGATAAATGGCTAAAATAGTTAGCTAAAAGTAATGGATAAATGGCTAAAATAGTTAGCTAAAAGTAATGGATAAATGGCTAAAGTAGTTAGCTAAAAGTAATGGATAAGTAGTTAAATAGTAAGCTAAAAGTAATGGATAAATGGCTAAAATAGCTAAAAGTAATGGATAAGTAGTTAAATAGTTAGCTAAAAGTAATGGATAAATGGCTAAAATAGTTAGCTAAAAGTAATGGATAAGTAGTTAAATAGTAAGCTAAAAGTAATGGATAAATGGCTAAAATAGCTAAAAGTAATGTTTAAGTAGTTAAATAGTAAGCTAAAAGTAATAGATAAATGGCTAAAATAGTTAGCTAAAAGTAATGGATAAATGGCTAAAATAGTTAGCTAAAAGTAATGGATAAATGGCTAAAGTAGTTAGCTAAAAGTAATGGATAAGTAGTTAAATAGTAAGCTAAAAGTAATGGATAAATGGCTAAAATAGCTAAAAGTAATGGATAAGTAGTTAAATAGTTAGCTAAAAGTAATGGATAAATGGCTAAAATAGTTAGCTAAAAGTAATGGATAAGTAGTTAAATAGTAAGCTAAAAGTAATGGATAAATGGCTAAAATAGCTAAAAGTAATGTTTAAGTAGTTAAATAGTAAGCTAAAAGTAATGGATAAATGGCTAAAATAGTTAGCTAAAAGTAATGGATAAATGGCTAAAATAGTTAGCTAAAAGTAATGGATAAATGGCTAAAGTAGTTAGCTAAAAGTAATGGATAAGTAGTTAAATAGTAAGCTAAAAGTAATGGATAAATGGCTAAAATAGCTAAAAGTAATGGATAAGTAGTTAAATAGTTAGCTAAAAGTAATGGATAAATGGCTAAAATAGTTAGCTAAAAGTAATGGATAAGTAGTTAAATAGTAAGCTAAAAGTAATGGATAAATGGCTAAAATAGCTAAAAGTAATGTTTAAGTAGTTAAATAGTAAGCTAAAAGTAATGGATAAATGGCTAAAATAGTTAGCTAAAAGTAATGGATAAATGGCTAAAGTAGTTAGCTAAAAGTAATGGATAAGTAGTTAAATAGTAAGCTAAAAGTGATGGATAAATGGCTAAAATAGCTAAAAGTAATGGATACGTAGTTAAATAGTTAGCTAAAAGTAATGGATAAATGGCTAAAATAGTTAGCTAAAAGTAATGGATAAGTAGTTAAATAGTAAGCTAAAAGTAATGGATAAATGGCTAAAATAGCTAAAAGTAATGTTTAAGTAGTTAAATAGTAAGCTAAAAGTAATGGATAAATGGCTAAAATAGTTAGCTAAAAGTAATGGATAAATGGCTAAAGTAGTTAGCTAAAAGTAATGGATAAGTAGTTAAATAGTTAGCTAAAAGAAATGGATAAATGGATAAAATAGCTAGCTAGAAGTAATAGATAAATAGCTAAAATAGTTAGCTAAAAGTAATGGGTGATTGGCTAAAAAACAGTTAGCTAAAAGTAATAGATAAACAATTAAAATGGTTTGCAAAAAGTAATGGATAAATGGCTAAAGTTGTTAGCTAAAAATAGGCCAGGGGATCCCTCAGCTGTCAGCTGATTAATCTTTGCTAATATGTTGAGTTCATGTTAAAATTTAATTTTTGGAAAAAAAAAAACAAAACTTAAATTAGATTTTCAAACAATAATTTGGCAGCCCTCCTACACTAAGTACGAAGACCCCCTAGCTGTTGCCGACCCCCTGTTGAAGACCCAGGGCTCAAATTAATGGATAAATCATTAACATATAACTTCTACAGTTGTTCAGATGCAAACTTCACCAAACTAAATAAACACTGACAGTTTAATTGTATGAAAAATGTGACTATATTGTAACAATATACACTTAAATTTAGTTAATACCCTTGTGTCAACATCCAGTTATCCAGTTTAAAATCAACTGAAATGAACCCATATGGAACATGACCGCGGTGTTAATAAGGGATTCCTCTGCTCCATTACAACTCCTCACACACACTCTTCATTATATTTCACTAGCTCAGATGCAGTTTCTCCATCTGTCCCGTCTTAGTGCTACATCAGTGCTTCCCGGAAGGCCTCTTCCTGTTTTGACGGGCACAGGTGACCCCAGTTTTCCAGTCGTGTCACTGCACACATTATTCAGTAGTGGTCACAGTGACACATCTGCCAGCTGGGCACAATTGTAGCTTCCGTATGCGCATTGACATCCTGCTAGCCAAATATACTTAGGAGGAAAATAGTTTTTCTCATCAGAGTGAAGTCTCATGACAGTCTTATTTAAATTTTTCTTTCTAAATCATTCACAATAGGCACTGAAACAGACCCTGCCTGGGGAAATGTCCTAAATTACCCCAGTGAAATGTTATGGTTTCCAAAATTGTCCATTTCATTGTGCGGTCAGTGTGGTTTTACTTGTTTGTCATAAAATGCCTGTGCACCCCGACCACAGGTGTCATGTGATCTGTAGTAAGCAAATTCCAGAAATGTGTGTTTTGTTCATAACTGTTGTTCTTCACTGGGTTTGTTGCTTTAACATATTTGACTGATTCTTTAACCTTGACTGACATTTGTGCTCCTTATTATATAATACTCAGATACTTGTCTCTGCTTGTTGATAATGAGCAATAATGATAAAATGGGAAGTTGTCCTTTTGTAAGATTCATTTCCATCCCACTTTGAGTCACATGAAATCTGGCGTCAGCAGCTGATTTTAAGAATGAAGTAGAAGTAGAGAAGCAGAAGAAGTTGCGGCTGCCTCTTTCGACCAGCTCATCTCCGGTCCGCACACGCAGTCTGTGACTCATTGGTTTTAGTAGGAAGTGGCAGGCTGTATTTTCTGCCCTGACATCTTTGCCGTGGACATTTGTGCTTGCACCTCTGTTTGTGTGAGCCGTGTCCTCTTGATTGTGTTTGATTGTCTCTGGAGAGGAACAATAATGATTATGGAGTGTTGGCAACAGCAATAACAGGAAGTTTGGACTACTGAAGAGACATAATATATCGGTTTACTGGAACACAATAATAGGGTGTGATTCTTGTTTTTATTTTGGGACTTCCTGTGGTTTATCTGCTGTATTTCTCTCTGGATGTTGTGATGCCTCTGCAGAAGATGATGCCGAGGATGGAGCAGAGCTCGTGCACTGAAGATCGTATCCAGCATGTCCTCGAGCGTTGCCTCAGCAGCTTGGGCCTGGACACTCCGGACAAACAACTCTGGAACGGTAAGACCCAATCCTCTACCTGCCTTTAATGGTTATAACTTTAAGAAACTACGCTGAAAATATGACACAACTTGGGTCCTCAAGTCACACCAGAAATCTACATGTGGTACAGAAAAGTACAGATGATATCTTAAAACCAATGTTGAAACCAGTTTGTTCAAGTCCTGACACGCCTCTGCTGAATTTCACTAAATAAATGACAAAAACGCCAAGTAGATTTTTAACATGTGAAATTATCGATAGACGCAACCAGCAAACCAACCGGGTACATGCTGTCCACCTTAATGGCGACAAACAGGAATTGAAAGTGGTGACACACAGAATAAAGACTGACCGAAAGTATGGAGGATTGTCATGGTGGTTAATGCAAGTTCAGTTTTGAAATACTTAACTGCTGTAACTTCATTCAGTCATTTCCAACAAGGGAGAGTGGTGTAATCATTTTGCTTTCACTTAGCGTCTACTGAACATTAGTTAACATGTGAATCTAACTAGTGTGTTTAGCACCTGTTATCAGACTGAAACCTAAAAGGAGAAACAAGCTGTGTGTTTGTGTCTGTCCGCAGCTGGGCTGTGCATAAACCGCTGGTGTTTGGAGGAACTTGTGAAGAGAGATCCGCACAACTTCCTCATCCTTCTACAGAAAATACTGAGGAAAACAAAGGAGGTCAAGAGCTGAAAAACAACATCATCAGTGTGATATGAGGAATGACAGCATGTTTCAGTTCATAATTCTATGTTTTTTAACAGGTGCTGGAGCAGAGTCAGTACGAGCTGGTGGTGCCTCTCACTCTCCTGTTCTCTTCAACCCTCCTCAAAGTGAGTTGGTGGAGTCAGCGGCTATATGAACACAGATTCTTCCCGTTTATTCTATTTAACCTGGTGACTTGTTTCTTCTCAGGCTCCTCAGGTGGCGTCAGACTGTGACGTGCTGCAGGAGGCCTACCTGTTGTTCCATAGTTTCCTATCCTGGCCTGAGCCGTGCAGCTCCGCCTGCAAACGCCTGCTGAATATCATCCAGCAGGAGCTCAGAGCACCAGGTACCACTGACGCTCTTATGCACTGATGTGAAGGCTGAATGTTGTGTCACTGTTTTCTTTCAAGTATGGAAGGAGGTACTTAAAGGAACACTTCAACCCCAAAATGATTATTTGTTTATGGATTACACATTCAATGTTACGCTGAATTCATAGTGGAAACTTAGTTTTTCTAGCATGCCTCCACGGTGTACAGAGAATCCGAAAATTAGGGCTGCCCCCGCCTAAGAATTGTCCTAATCCTCATCATGGTCCATCAGTGGACTAGTCTCCTGCATGTTTCTGATATGAATGTAATGATTAAATGATATACTTTGGTGGTTTGAGTTGAAGGTGTGAGAAAGAATAGTATCAGTAACATTGTTAACACTGTGCTACATTACAGAGAAATACAAAACCGTACTAATGAACCTTCATTAATATAGGCCTATATTTTATCTTCAAGTGCACGTCACACACTGAGCGAGCCGCCTGTTAATGACGCTGTTGGCAAAGCAGTAATGATTGTGCTAAGTGGCTAATGGGCATGTAGCTACTTCCATGTTTCAGATGATACGTCATGTTTGTAGTCGACCAATGAAGATGAGTTTACATATCACCTTGGGTTCGTCCTTCACCTTCTCAAAATGATCCCACACTTTGGATTTCCTGCCCGACATGTTATTAACTAGCCTGTGGAATAACCGCAGGTACCAGCCCTGGAAATTAACCTGACTCCTGTCTGACTGCTGAGCGTGGACACTTCCTGTGGCTGTGCTTTCAAATTAAAGTCACACATGGTCCAGTCCAGGGGGGGGTCTCGTCTTAGCGACCGATGAAATCTTGCCAACTAATGACCTTTCTGGTCGGCTAATGTTAGGTCAACTATTAGGGGGCAGCCCTTCTGAAAATTGAGAAAGTTTTTGAAGAATTGGAAAGAGGCCAGGATTAACAACAAAAACTATATCAAAGCATCCGTTTACAAACTCTAACACAAGTCATGCAGTGTAATATAGTCTCATTTATCCAGTTGTGTGCTCAGTACTTCCCAAACACATTTTCGCTAAACTCATATTTAAACACTTAAGTATAAATAGCTCAGTTGTGCTGCTCTTCAAATTGTGAGAAGTCATTTCACAGTTCCGTCACCCAAAGAAAATGCACTTTGCACTGTGCGTTTCTGCAAACCACAAATATGTTTCATTTGCACATTTCATACGTCTCATATCAGCATTTCTGAAGTGAGGTAGCATATGAGCTGCCTTTGTCATCAGGAAGTGGAGGGGTTGTTGGATGGCGTGACATCTAGGGGAAAAGCCTGCCAAGCTGTAGGCCACTGTTCAGACCAGCAAACAACATAATGGGTTGTTTGAGCAAGTCATCGCTGCATTTCCAGCGACTTCTTAGGCACCAAAGGTGGATGTTTTGCAGCAACATGTCACTGTGTTTCCAGCTGGGATATTGCCACATTAAGCAGTTGTTTTTTCCCAACATATTGTTGTGTTTCCTGACGGGATTGTGCCACCAAAACTGGGTATTTTAAACCAAAACATAATCCCCTCCCAACCATGTCCAAATGACTTTTGTGCATCAACGAGGCATGAAGTTTATACCGTGCAAATGTGACATATCTGTGGTTCGCAGAAACGTACAATGCCAACACTTTTTCTAAGATTGAGTTAGTATTAAACATTAAGGTCTTCGTGAAAATGCATGTGTTCAGGAAGTACTGAGCGTTCAATTTGATAAATGGGATGTGGACTTGTGAACGAATAATCTGACATAGTTCTGCTGTCGTTAAACTCAGACCTCTTTTACTTTAATTCATTAAATATTCCGCCATTTTTGGATTCTTCAATCACCGTGGCGCATATGAGAAAAATAGTTTTCTTGCCAAATTCAGTGTAACACAGGGTGAGTGACTGATATACTAATGATCATTTTGGGGTGGAAGTGTTCCTTTAATGTTTTTTGTATACAGTTGGTCACATTTATAACATGACTGGTGTTGATGACGGGATACTTGAGTTCATCAGACAGGGATCAGGGTTATGTAGGTATCAGTGCGACCACATGGGGGCAGTGTTTACCCACTGAGAAAACTAAACTGTCTGCCTACTTTTGTTTCAGGTATTTCATTTCAAAGACTGCTTCGCATGGAGCAGGGTATTTCCCCGGAGATTCACTGCTCTAAAACCATGTAAGTTCATTTAAATTTAAATGATAAATGCCATCAAAACAAGCTAAGCATGGCTCCTGTTTCCATACATCTTAAATGTCTTTATGGCACTTCTAAAACGACAACCATAAATTAAGAAAACACTTGAGATCTTGAGACATTTTATAAGATTTCTACATCATTGCTCTCTTTGTGTATGATGGTGTATGTGTGTATTTCATCAGGACGGTGCTGTTAGTGAGCCCAGATGAAGACGTCCCTCCAGAGGTCCAGTCTGTCTCGGAGCAGCTGAGCAGCACCCAGCACTCCAGCAGAGACGTCACCATCACCCTCATCCTGCACGCCTTCCAGGCTGCTCTGGGCACTGGTCACGACCTGCAGGCGCTCCACACCACCCTGCAGGTGACTCACCAACATGTTTTAGATGCACAGTTCCTTTTTATTATTTTCTTCCTAAACCAAACATCCTAATGTTCCTCCAGACGAAGCGGCCAGAGGAGCTGGAGCAGCTCGTGGAGGCAGTGACGGACCGCATGGAGACAGCAGCCTCTACAGCTGATCTCAGCATAGCTAGACGAGTTCTGCTGCAGAGCATGGAAAGGCTCAGGGAGAGCCTGGCTGGTCCTGGTCCTGCTGATGGCTGCCCAGATAACGGTGAGACAGAATATATAAATATGAAAAGCCACAGACAAAGTGAAGATAAATAAATGTGTGACACGTCGGGCTTCCTTAACCTGAGTATGACCTCCTCTCATTAGGGGCTGTTGAGACTTTTATGCTGCCCCTCCCTAAATGTCACACGTGCTCCTGGGAGAACGACAACCTTGGTAATTAGATCAGTTTCAACAACTCTTCAGATGCCTTTACCAGAGTTCTATCTTTAACCGTTCTCAAACATTTTCTTCTTCAGGTGTTCTGTATTACATTCTCACCAGCGGGTCGGACCTGGACTCACTTCCAGACTGTTTCCTGAAAGCAGAACTGGATGAGGACGATACTAACGACACCAGTGTGGATGAGGAAGACGAGATGGAGGGAAACAAAGTGGACCACGAGTTTCAAAACCACCGCATCTCCACCACATCCTCTTCCTCGAGGGACTCCGGCTACTCTCTGTCCTCCAGCTGGTCTGTGGTCTCCACGCCATCTGGCTCCTCAGGTGTGGAGAGTGACTTCAGCGAGGACACGACACACGAGGATGCAGAGAAGGGACAAGAGAGCCAACCGAAGCTTAGAAAGAAACCCAAAAAGAAGTCCAGATCCATCTTAGGTGTAGAGCGCTTCTCCTCGTTTTTCAAGAGTCCTCGCAGCCCGAGCAACTGCCGCCGTGTCCAGAGTATGGGCTACAGGGGTGACTTTACCACAGACTGTCAAAGAACTGGTTCGCAGCTTAAACACTCCAGGTCCATGTCCAGACAAGCTCATCCTCTGCATCCGTCCACCACTGCTCTGGATCCTCTTTCCCCCCGGAAGCACATGTGCGTCCGCAGGAGGCCGATCCTGAGCTGCGACGAGGGCGATGTGACAGAAGTGCCCACCTTAGTCAAAGTGGTGGTGTTTGGAGGTGACAGAGAGGCGGGCAGGTTGGCCAGGGCGTACAGCGACCTGCAGCAGAAAGAGAGTAAATGTCCTCGACTCACCAAGACGTGCAAACTGCAGTTTTACTTTGTTCCCACCAAAAGGAGAACGATAGGAAGCACAGGGGGAGGACACACACCGACCGAAGGGCCGACAGGAATCAAAACTGCTGCCTCTGTGGTGAGAAGGCTCATTCAGCCTTTTATCTGTATATGTAAATGTATATTAATGTATTCACAGATACCACTTCCTAACTAGAGGGGCACTCAGAGAGCGTAGACTCCCTCGTCTTACACCTCATGAATCAGATCTGCTCCAAAATTTAATGGGCTCTTCTTTGGCCCATGCTTCACCCTTCAACCAAGTATCATGAAAAAGGAACTTATGATAACAACCTGAGCCCGTCAGTGTAAAAACAAGCACTTTTACTGGACGTAAAATGAAGGTGTGAACATGACCCAAGACGTTACATCTCAGCCTGTTTTGCAGTTGCTGGCTGCAGCACTCTCACTGAAGACTGGACCGATATTAAAAATTGTTGCTCTGATTAGTCACTTCGACAAAAAAAGGGGGGAAATAGGGCTCAGGTTGAAAAATACCAAAGTTACTCTTTTATGTGGAAACCCTTTATAAACGGAGCCTCTGTAGAAAATAGTACTTTTAGATAATATGATGATGTGAAATGTTATTGATGTGTTTCTTTGACTGAGGTAATACAGCTTTTCTTGTCTCCCTCTGACAGGAGAGTAATGGCAGTATACTGGAGGACAGTACCACTGATATAGCACAGATGTTGGGCATGATGGACCCCTGGTACGAGCGAAACGTCCTCAGTCTGCTCAGCCTGTCCTCTGACGTCCTCTGTCAGGTACCTTCCATACCGTCTTCAACTCTGGTCCTTACATTACACAATGAGTCAAGACAGAAGCTGCTGGGGTCAAGCAGGATTTATACTGGTGTGTCAGCTCTATGAGTTGTGTCTGTGTCACTCTGCGGTTACACCTCCAAAACAGTGGTCGGCTGCAGGGTTTCTGTGAAGTGCAGTAAAGTTTAGTTGATTCAAAACACACATTAAACACACATTAAACATGGCTTAATAGAGACAATTTCAAACACAAGTACACAAATCAGCTTCACTATAACTCGCAGCATTCACAGACAAACACTTGTCTTTATCTGGACACATTTTCCCCACAAATACAACATGCTAACTTTATTAGCACAAGCCTATGGCATTTTACATTGTATGAATTAGCCTAGCAGCTAGCAGACTTTTCCTCTCCTCATATGAAGCCAGGGACAACAGCAACATTTAACAAAGGTAACGTTACAAAATTCAGCTCCATTACAACTCACAAGGTTCACTGACAAAACAACTGTCTTATACTAAACACGTTTTCCAAACAAATACAACATGCTAACGTTATTAGCACAAGCCTATGGCATTTTTTCATTGTATAAATTAGCCTAGCAGCTAGCAGAGATTTCCTCTGCTCATATGAAGCCAGGATAAATCACACACAAGACTTAAAATGATATTTTTATGGAGGCTCTATTGTTTTCACAATTTATTGTTTCTTATCTGTGAAATTAAAGTAAATCAAAGCTTTGTTTCCACTGAGGGAAATGGTTTCAGCTTACAGAGACAGACAGGAGGTCTGCGTCACCACGACGTGTAGTTACATTTCTGGGGAGGTGCACGTCAGGCTACGGCGTAGGGTACGGCATAGGCTCTACATCGACGCAGAGCCTACGCCGTAGATACAGTGTCGATTCGATGTAAACGTTTAAATCCTGCTTTCAAGAAAGGGGAGAAGGGTTATATAGAATCGTGTACAATCCTCAGTGTGTGAAAAAATCATTGACTTGCTTAAATATTTTGTAAATAAAATCTTACGGTGGTTACGTTTGATACCTTACTGTATGCACATACTCATTACCTACATTGTCTGAAATCCATGCGTGTGTTTCCTCCATGAAGCAGACTGCCTGTAAGGAGGGAGGAGATGAGTCAGTGAGCAGTGGCAGCGCAGAGAGTCTTCCCCTGCTGGCCGACCTGGTGCTTTATTACTGCCGACATGCAGACCAGCCTGTTCTGGTGCAGCTCTACCAGGCTGAGGTGAGAGCAGCAACACACACACACACACACACACACACACACACACACTCACACACACAGTATTTACCTGATTCATTTTTTGTTTCCTCCTCCACACAGCTGACCCTGGCTGGAGGAGAGAAGAGAAGGGAAGTGTTTATTCACTCTCTGGAGCTCGGGCACACTGCTGGAACCAGAGCTGTTAAGGCCATGGGTGAGTCACACTCTGACACATCCAGACAGCCACAACAGCACATACACACATATACACACACACACACACACACATCTGATCTAATCTAATCTAATGTGTCTTCTTGCAGGTGCTGCCAGCAAAAGGTTTGGCATTGATGGAGAGCGTGAGGCTGTCCCTTTAACACTAAGTGTTGGTTACAACAAGGTATTTTTCACACCCTCAGATTTCCAGTAACAGCAAATATTAAAGTTCACATTCAGAGCTATTTTTATATCTGTCTGTCTACACCCAATTACAGGTGGCTGTTAGTGGGAGGAGCCAGTGGATGCAGACAGAGAAGGTCTGCACATCGGTGAATCTCTACAAAGCCTGCAGGAAACCTGAGCAGCTCGGTGTGTGACACTGATGGTCCCAGCCTTTTAATCGTGTGCCAGCAGGTGAATTTTGTTTGGGTTTTTTTGTCTAAGCAAATCAAATCTCATCCGTCCAGATTCAAGAATAGAAAGTCTGCAGCTGACTATGACAGAGGTCCTGAAGAGGCAGTGCTCCAAGTCAAAAAAGGGCTACAACCAGGTGAAGGAAATAAAACATTGATAAACATAATCTCATACACACACCCCTCTCTTTAAAACTCCCCCTCCTCACATTTCCTCTCCCTCCACGTGCTCTCTGGCAGCACATCTCCATATCAAAGGTAAAGGTGGACAAGGTGGAGGTGAACGGAGGAAAAGACGGGACGTTTGCCGTGTGTCTGGATCAGGATGAGAAGAAGTTCATCCAAAGTGTCACCAGGTACAACAGAGCCTCATCACTGACTGTCATATCACTGAACCTTTACTTAAAGGAATACTTCATAGACATCTGAAACGTAACAGGGGGCCCAGCTGACACCTTTTTGTATAAAGTCACAAGCCAGTATCGAGCATTTCGTAGCCTTACCATATGTTTTTTTTTCAGCCCCTCCCCCAATTAAAAAAAAGTCCATATAAGTCGTCTGACCGAAGTTTTGTTACCTAAATCTAACTACATAGTTTTGGTGCGTAACTGCGACTGTTTCACAACATTGCCATGTTTGCTAAAACATGGCTAGTTACGTAGGTTAGGCTTAGGAAAGTAAAGTTACATAGATTAGGTTTAGGAATGTAAAGTTACGTAGCTTAAATTTGGGAATGTAATGTCACGTAGGGTAGGTTTAGGCAAGCAAAGTTACCTAGGTTAGATTTAGACAGGTAACTTTACGTAGATTAGGTTTAGTAAAGTTACGTAGATTAGGTTTAGGAATATAAAGTCACGTAGGTTAGGTTAAGGAATGTAAAGTTACGTAGGTTAGGTTTAGGAATGTAAAGTTACGTAGGTTAGGTTTAGGAATGTAAAGTTACGTAGCTTAGGTTTGGGAATGTAATGTCACGTAGGGTAGGTTTAGGCAAGCAAAGTTACCTAGGTTAGATTTAGACAGGTAACTTTACGTAGATTAGGTTTAGTAAAGTTACGTAGATTAGGTTTAGGAAAGTAAAGTTACGTAGGTTGAGTTTAGAAGAGTAAAGTTAATAAGCTTAGATTCAGACAAGTTATGTAGGGCAAGTTTAGTTAAGTTATGTGTACGTTGAGTTTAGAAAAATAAACATTGTAGAGATGTACCTCAAAATAATTCAGAGTTCACTCGGTTTCACACGGGACACGGACTCCTGGGGAAAGTCCTGTGTTTGTTTGACCATCCATCACCCCAACCAGCCATCTTACACGGTCTATCAGTCTTAATACAAATTCCTTCTTCACATTCATCAGTGAATTGGTCACATGATCCCAGCCTTTCTGATTAGATGGAATATACACAAATTAAAGGCTCATGATTACGTGGGTTTTATACGAATTTTGGTGCATAACTTTTCGTAGGTATATGTGCAAACAGTTTGTGACAACAGCCTATGTGTTTTTTGGGCAGAGGATGGTGGATGCATTTTTCAGCCTCACATGTAGTGATGGTGTATCTTGTGTGTCTGCAGGTGTGAGGTGTCTCTGTGCTGTAAACCAGGAAGCAGTTCAGACTGGATGTCCTACAAGCCCTCACCTGGACAGGTCCAGCCTCTGCACCCGTCCTACTGCTCTCTGCTCTGCCTCCCCATCACCTCGTTCTCTGCCTCCTGCCCCTGACACACTTTTTACTGCAGCTTATCTAAGTTCCCAGGGTCCAACGTGCCCCAGTTCAATTTTCTGTCACACATTAACCCTACTGTTGTGATCGGGTCCAGTGTGACCTGTTTTAATTTAAATATTTCACAGATATTATCCAGTTAACCCTGAACGTGGCAGATGACAGTAAATTGTTGGAGCTCTCTGACTCCAGCCTGACCCCTGACCTGTTTTCTAATCTTAACCTGTTTGGATATTGCAGTATTCCGTGGTGTTGTGGAGGGTATACGCAGGTATATGGAGTATGTCCACCTCTTTCTCTGGCGGTTTACAGTATACAAAAAGCCATGGGAATATATAGGAGAGTATACCCACTTCCTCCTTGGTAACCTACCAATTACAATTATACAACTGTGCAACAACATTAGTTCCTGATTCAGACCAAAGCAAGACAACTCTAGGTCTGAAAGAAGCCTTAGACCTGCGCCAGTGCAGTTTCACGACTCACAGGGTCATGATTATGGTCCCCTAACCTAACCCTTATCATATTAAGCAGGGTTGGGGAACATCTGGGCTGTACACAGCTGGGTAATATAGGACCCTGGGAACATGGGAATGACCCCCTTTTACTACACTGATTGAATCCATTGAGGTGATAATGTTTAACCAAAGCAACACTGGATGCAGAACAGCTACTGGATAGACTGGTGAAAATGAAATCAGACAAAGAAAAAAGAGTGACCTTTATTGACCCACTTATATTTCAGGTTTGTCATGTCGCTGATGTCAAGGTGTGTCACTTTGTAATTTGAAGGAGTTTGACTGGATTGTTTCCCAACTTTCTATGTTTTTTTTTTCTTATCAGATCTTTAAAGAGACAGTTTAACTTTGGAAAGAAGAAACATTAATGCCAAAGCTCTGTCTGTAGAGACGTGTTTATGTTAATTATCTGCTGTCAGTAGCATAAAACTGATTACTTGATTTACTACTGTGTACGTTCTCCCTTTTTAAAAAAAAAAGTGTACTAAAATAAGCTATTTATTTTGAAGTGATAGCGATAAAAACATGTTTTTTATATATATTTTCAAAACAAATTGTCTCATTATGTTTTTATATGTCACTCAACTGTAATAAAATCATACTTGAGTCGGTTCTGTGTTTTCTTTGTTCTCACAGTTTAGACAGTGACTGCCTCTCCTGAACTTCCTCCTATGACTCACTCACTTGCACAACAGACACCACCTGTCATTATCACATTATTTCACTCTAAGGTAGCAGCAGCAGCAGCGGCGAAGAGCATTTATAAGAAGAGACGATGCAATGGTGAGCGCTGGATCTGTGCAGACAGTGTGTACAGTGAACTCTGTTCGGGCGCACACGTTCCTGAAGTTATCCTGAGACTCTGAAGAGCAGAAAAGATGGTTGATCCCACAGGTAAGTGCTTTTATTTCCTCTTTAACTGTTTGAAATCACCTAATACACACACTTTTTTGCTGATTAAAACTTGCAGTAGTGCAATGTGGACTGACTATGGTTATTGTGATCTTAATGTGTAGCTGATGTGGTGCTCTCGCCTGTGGAGACCAGCCTGTACAACAACGTCCAGGCTCTTCTCAAAGAGATGAGCCAGAGTTCTTCACAGAAAGGTAACTACAGCTGAGGCTCTTAGAGGGTCAGTGTGCTACATTCAGAACATTATTATAGCAGCAAATGTAAAGATGTGGCTGCACCAGAGAAAAAGTCACACTCTGTCTGTGTGTTGTGATCAAAGTTTCTAGCTTTGCGCATTTAGTCCTTCCCAGGCAAGCTCAGGAACGACGCTCTTGGAGATTAGAGTGTAGGACCTTCACATAACCTGGACGAAGTTAATACAGATTTTAAAACGCTTGAAGATCCACTCATTACTAAAAGTGTGTGTCATATTAAAACTAAAGTGACGGTCAAAGTTGTCACAGTGAAATTTAAGTTGTGCTGATGGATTCACGTCATCAACTCATGCATTGAGTAACATTACAAGTTAATGTTCCACCTTAAAAGTTGCCGGCAGTCTGCCCAGTGAATGAAGTTATTTTTTCTCAGACTCCAGCTGCTGTGAGAGGCAGCAAAACATCCTTTCAACAGACTGCAGTGTTCACAGCTCCACCTTTTAGTACCAGATCTGTGTGCTAGGTACCAACAGAGGGGGGACCAAACATGGGGATGGTATGGAACGATTGCATTGGTACCATCCACAACTTTTCACAGTGGAAACGGGAAAAAAGTGAACTGAACTATATCGTACTGATCGGTGTAAATGGGGCTATACTGGGCACCCTGACCATCGTAACAACCATCCAATGTTAATCTCAAAAAGTGAATTATCAACAGTGGACTACATGCCACAACATAAACAGCTAAGTGAATATAGTCAAATAAAAACGCAAACTGCTGTCTGTCTGCAGGAGTGCACAGATGGAGCCTTCAGAAGAAGCTGGAGGACGATCCGTCCTGCAGCGCCTCACTGATCAGAGTTCTGGTCAGAGAGCTGGACAAGAAGCTGAAGAGAGTCAGCAAGGTTCGTTCCCTCAACTCTGCTTTCAGATTTTAAAGTCGAATTTAAAGTTCCATGTAGATTTCCAAACACTTGTTTCTGTCTTTAAAGACAAAGATTTTTATTTATTTAACTTTTTTTAGTTGTTGAAAAAGAATGTTAAAGCTCATCATTGTAACTTTGTTTGTTGACTGAAACAGATTCACAAACCACAATCCTTCACGCATGTCATTCCGATGCTTCACACTCTCTACTATGCAGTTATTCAGGTAAGACACACCTGCGTGACTGCAACTGACACTATCATAGTGTTCAGATAAGTCCGTAACAACCGTTTATACTTATAAATACATGCAGCTGGAAAGACAAAAACAGTTTGCATTGTTAGTCATGTTTCCGGTCTTAAGGTTTTGTTACGTCTGTATTACCTTTCCAGTCAGGTGTGATGATTCCCAGCAGCCTCTACCAGACAGTGTACGAGTGTTTGATGAAGCTGCTGATATTACCATCGCCTTACTCTGCTGTGGCCCTGCACACGCTGAGGAGCATCAAGATGGAAATGAACACACCAGGTGTCCATCAATGCACACGTCTGTACAGTATGATGCTGTAAAAGAAACACTACCTAACAAACTGATCCCTCCTTCAACAGGCTCCTTGTATCAGAAGAGAGTCACTGCTGAGCAGAACCTGAACAACGATCATTTCACCTGGCAGGAAAAGTGGGTATAGCCTCTGAATGACAATCAGCTTGTATTAAAATGCTTCAGAGTTTAAAACACTTAATAAGGTACTTTATTAACTGCTGATTTCCTCCAGGGTGTTTGTGCTCGCTGACCCAGCTGTGTTTTCGGCTCCACTGGACGCAGCAGTGAGAAAAAACTTGGAGGCGTCAAACTTTCTCAGGGACACGACAACCATGGAGATCAGTGTGGTGCTGCGTGTGCTGCAGGCCGGGCTGGGGACGAGCTGCCACAGCTCCAGACTGGCTCAGGCTCTGGAGGTACGTCTGTTAAGATTAGGGTGGCAACTGTGTGAGATTTTCACAGGACCATACCATCTCAGAAAATATTACTGTTTAGGGTGACCATATTTTGATTTCCAAAAAAGAGGACACGAGGTAGCCTACTTAAATGATACTCGCAGTTTACTCAAAGATGCCTTATCATTTTAATATATTTAAAGTTTATATGTATGGATAGAAAATTCAGTTATATTACAAAATAATATCTCTCAAAGACAGAAATTCAGATAGGCCCCACTAGGGGACACATACACACACTAGAGTGTGGCTACCCGATCCGAGTCCGACGGGTCCCGACGGTAGGCCTACCCGACGGGTCTGGCCTGGTTCTGTCAAAATTGTATAAATTGTATTCGGGCTCGGGTTGGATTCGGTCAGCTTTCAGTGAAAATGTAGTGTAAAAATAAATAAAATCCTATTGTCTGTCCTGTTTATTGCTTGGGCACTGTTATTTACGTGACACCACCTGAACACAACACACACACAGTTTGTTTCTACCTCTCCCCTCGCTGGAAGCCTCGGACCTCCCGCTCCCATCTCAAACATGGAGGTCTCCCTCTCCGCTGAGCACCCACGGCGCACGCCCGGCCTGTTAAAAAGCCTGTAACCATAACAACTGTGTGACACAAACTCAGTGCTTTAGTAATTAAATAATGTCGGGCTCGGTTCGGTGGACATAACAAAACAGAATGACTGTCGGGTTCGGACAGAAATATGCGGCCCGTGCCACACTCTAACACACACACACACACACACACACACACACAAGGAAAACCGGACATTATCATCAGTTTATAAAAACCCCCCGGACGCCCCGGACAGGACGTGAAAAGTGGACATGTCCGGGCAAAAGAGGACGTTTGGTCAGCCTGTTACTGTTTGTGGTATCACCTTATACAGTATTACCTAATATTATCAGGGACAACAGGGACCCTTAAAGGAAAACAGAAGTTTTTTTTGGGTTGAACAAACGTGTTAAAGTTTATGAAGTTTTGTGTAAAAAGTCTGCTAGGCATTCATGGAGGAAGGAGATGGGCATGTGCAGATGAGATTTTTCGTCCAGTTGCATTTTTTTTTTCAATACCACAGATGAGCAAATATACACAGTTTGATACCAATTTCCATACTATGGTTTTCACAGTTTACAGATGCAGCCCTAATGAAGCTGTCTTGGACAAGTAACATTTTTAGACACAGTAGCGTTGTTGGTCTTGGGATGGTCATGCCAGTCAGTCAACTGGTTGATCAGTCAGCACTTTGGTCAGGTCTAAAATATCTCAACAACTGTTGGACAAACTGCCGTTAAACTTTAGTACGTCAGCCCAGGAAAATGTCATCCCTGCAGCACTTTATTAGCAAACACTAGCATGCTAAACTAAGATGGTGAACATATAACTGCTGTACATTAGCGTGTTAGCACTGTCACTGTGAGCACATTGCCATGCTAGTGTTAGCATTTAGCTCAAAGCACTGACTCTTAGGGTGCGTTCACACCTGCCTCACTCAAGTTCGTTTGCCCCTCAGTGCGGTTCGTTTGGGCAGGTGTGAACACAGCAATCACACTCAGGTGTGCACCAAAACAACCAGACTGAGACCTTCTTGAAGAGGTGGTCTCGGTCTGGTTACAAACGAACTCTGGTGCGGTTGGTTTGTGGTGAGAAGGTGTTCCGACCTGGATGTGAAGCAACTGCAGTCACATGACACATTGTTTGGGTTAAACATGAGCATGTTACAGTCCTGGAGGATTATTAATGTGCACCTCCTCCTGTACTGCCTTAATATGCACATTCAGCACATCCAATGCATCAAAACATTGTTTTCTAGTTGGAGCCGCGCCTCGTTTTCAAACTGTATGTTTTGACTAAAATGAACAATGACAGCAATATAGTCCACGATGAGCAGCGCTAAAATCAACCTGCGTAGTTGTCCCTCCATTGTGACATTAGAAAGTGTCACATTTATCTTGCAAGTGTACTCTTCTTCAACGTTTGCTTTACTTCCTGGATTTTTCCCACATGGAAATTCTGACCAATCAAGAGCAGCTTTCTCACACAAGGCATTTGATCTGGTCCTCTTGTAAATGCTGCCGTGAGAACACGAACCAACTCTAGGCAATTATACAACTTTGGAACAATATGAGTCCCTGATTCAGACCAAAGGAGACCACTCTAGGGCTGAAAGCAGCCTTTGGTCGTGCTGATAAATGCTTGCGTGGGGCAAGTTTATACCTCACTTTACTATATCAATAAGTTGTCAGTATTTGTTGTTGTTTATCAGACTGTGTGTCTTTTGTGTGTTTCAGGCTTTAGAGAAACATACGGTAGAGAAATATTTCCAGGAAGTGGTCTCAGCTGTGGAGAAGAGTATGAAGCATGGTGCAGGTGGTCGTACAATCTATCTGAACAAACTAACATACATATACGGAGACATCCTGACTGCCTCTAAAGGTGTGTGTACTGCATTCTGCTGCTGTAGCACAGATTGGTATTAGCAGAGACTGTGACAGGACTGCCACGTCATCTTTATCTTGTTGTCTTAGGAAGAACAACGCTGGATCACGGTTCTGTGTGCAGCAATGCAATGCCCTTTCCAGAGAT